TTGGGATTCCCTTTCTTCTCAAGGTTAGTCACAATTTGCTATGATCTACACAGTCAAGTGCCTTTGAATAGTCAATGAAACACAAATAGATATTCTTCTGGTATTCTTTACTTTCAGTCAAGATCCATTTGACATTGGTGATAATGCCTTTAGTGCCAACAACCTCTTCTAAATCTGGCCTGTAATTTTAGTAGTTCTCTGTTGATGTATAAAATTTGACCTTGAGTCTATCGCACCTGACATTAAAAATCATCTCAGGAACTGGTGTGAGGCCTTGAACACTAATGAACGAAGACCAGATGAGCTTTGGGAGTATATCAAGAATATCATCCATGAAGAATGCAGAAAGTCATTACCAAGACAGGGAAGGATGAAAGATCAAGATGGATGTTAGAAGAGTCTCTGAATATTGCTCCAGAGTACGGAGAAGCCAAAACAAAGGGAAGAAAGCAGGAAGTTAAGGGGCTAGTAAGAAGATTTCAAAGGGCAGTTTGAGCAGACAAAACAAAGTATTAAAATGAAATGTGCAGAAATGCAAAATCAAAAGGGATGAACTTGCTCAGTATTTCTTAAGCTGAAGGACCTGAATAACAAATCCAAGTCTCAAGTTGCAATACTTAAGCATGCTATGGGCAGAATATAGAATAATCCAGCAAACTTTTAAAAAAGATGGAATGAGTATACAGAGTTACTATATCAAAAAGAATTGGGCGATATAGAAGAATTTCATGAAACAACATATGATCAAGAGACAATGGTGAAGATTGAGGAAGTTCAAGCTGTTCTGAAGAATCTGGCAAAAAACAAGGCCCCAGGACTTGATAGAATACCAATTGACATATTTCAACAGACAGCTACTGCCTTGGATGTGCTCACTAGCTTGTGCCAAGAAATCTGAAGGCCAACTACCTGATCAACTAAATGGAAGAGACTCATATTTGTTCCCATTGTAAAAAAGGGTGAAAATGCTCAAACAATATTACTGATATCACATGCAATCAAAATTCTGCTGAAAGTTATTCCAAAACAACTGAACAGTATATTGACAGAGAACTACCAGAAAAAGTAGCTTGCAGAAGGAAGAAAAAAAAATGCATTTCATGCCAGAACACTGATGACAACACAGTGACAGAAGTGATTCTTATGTGACTTAGAAGGGTAAAGAGAAAGATCTAATTGAAGAAAAAAATAGGGAATTAAGTTGTACTGTAGGGTACGGCAAAAGGGAATAAGCAAATCTGCAGAAGTTTCTTGATTTAAAATAAGACTGAAGATTTTTGTGAAATTAATTGGAGAAACATTATCTAGCTTCTGCATAAAGACAGTATGTTTTCTTTTTACTTATTGGTTTATTTGTTAATTATTGTAAAATACTAATTCAATTATGTAGAAGAGATTTTGGAGAGAATGCATATTATTTAAATTATAAGAAATAAAGGCAGAAGTGGTTTGTTGATCCACAGTTCTGACAACTATATAAAAGATATCTTCTGTTTTCTCTGCAAGAACAGAAGAGGCTTGACCTCAGATGATCCCCATAAGGAATATTTGTTAGGCTTTACTGTGGTAAGATGATAAGATAGAACTTTGGGATTGTAGGTTTTCCCTGTCTCCACTTAAGGAAGAATTTCCTGTGGCATGCCAGCAGCAGATGGAAGACAGTGGATCACGATCCTAAGAGAACGTAGTGGCTTTGGGAGAATGAGATTACAGCAGTGTCTGATGTTTTTTTTCTTCTTTTTTTTTCTATATTTTATTAATTTTCATAAACATTTACAGAGATTTTGGGTTTCCATTCATTCATTGTTGCACTATTCTCTCTACCCTCCTCCCAGT